GTTTTTCAACGACTTTTTATTCGTAGCGCCATCTATGAGAAATCTATGAAAGTTTTATCATCCAGTGAGATACCTTTGCAGCTACCAACCCTGGCGAGAGATGTCGCTATTCACTGTATTTTTAATTTTTTATTGAATTGATATTCAATTATTTTTATGCAATTACTCCACTAATTTCTTATAATTATTAATACAAAGATTGAATACTCAGAAAAAAATCCTTCGATCCGGCCGGATTCGAACCGACGTCTTCTAGCATACCGTGCCAGACGCTATACGCGATCGAAAAATCCGTGTTAGTAGAACATTGACTTACAAATAAATGGACGACGGGTCTAATACAAACACCACGAAAAAAATGTCCCAAGTCAACCTATTCGAAATTTAAATTGTAATGTCATCGCAGTATCGCGCTGTCTGTCGAACAAATGAAGACTTAAGCGGAGTGTGGCGCTCTGTATACGATTTTAGCGCCTTAAAAGTGCGGACACTTTTTAGCGCGGACCCGACGTCCATATAATTGTAAGTCAATGTAGTAGAAAATTAAAATAAGTAAATCAAAAAAATGACAGTCGGCAATTTTTTTATTTTCAAATTTAACCTAAAATAAAAAAGTAAAATAAGTGACCACACTTTTGAAAAACCACTGAATTGTTTTGGGGACTTTACTTGTTTAAGGTCTGATTATTTCTGATAATGCCCAGCAGTTGATTTCATTGCTCTGGTACTCAAAGTACAAGGAATACCTATTTTAAGGGTCGTATTCCAGAACTGTACTCCATGCTCAAGTCAGGATTTGAGCAGACTTGAGTATGATTTCAAGCACTGGAAATACGACCCTAATGGCATGGCCTTGAGTATGATTTTCAATGCTTTAAATCATACTCAAGTTTTGACTTGAGCATTGAGTAGAGTTCTAGAATACGACCCTAAGATCTGGTAATTGTTAAAGTTGTCTGGTAGGTACATTGTTATTTATAATTAAAACAAAAAACTTATCTTCACATGCATACTTACAGGTGAAAACGTGGACAAATGTAAGCCACATTTAAAAGAAAAACATTTTTTTTATTCTCACATTTTTATTAAAAAATAATCTACATACATTTAATGACTACCTTTCATTCTATCTAGACTCAAATTAACAGACAAAAACAAACAACGCTACAAACAAAATACAATAGTTGATAAAGTTATATTATATGCACATATTGTGTTTAATAACTATTTTGGTTTACTCTTTGGTTCAAATTGTTTTCATTCACTTTTTATTACTGCAGCTTGATAGTTTAGTTATGCTCGTAAGCATGGTTATTCTATGTTCTGCGGGATGTGGGAGGGGTTACGCCTTCGACCAATCAACGAACTTCCCTCTCTTGTACCTCGCATTATGGTTTAAATTTGAATTGCCTTATTTTTAAGATCCACCCATAAAGCGATGGTCTAAGCTGCCGTACGAAGGTCTGTACCTCGGGGTCTGCTGACTCCAAGGGCTTCGTCGGTTTTTGTAGCTGGAGCAGGCGATCAGGCTGTTCATCGCGGGAGGGCGCGACTGTTCGACGCTGATGCCGCAGCGACGGCTGATATCAGAAATATAGTAAAGACGTTTCTCTACCAAAGCTGGTGTACTATGAATAAATGAATACACAATATATAAATATAGTTACGTAAATATTACACAGAACTAAAATATATTTGCTTATATAATACATGTAACATAAATAGTAATGAATAGAAGACTAGTCAGAAAAACCATTGCAATGGTGTCAAAAAGAAAACCGACCTCATAAGTTTGTGGAATTACATCTATTTGCCAAGTTTTATTGAAATCGGTTAGCGGAAAGTGGGTGAAATCTAATAAGCCGGATTCATCCCCTAATTTGTCACCCTTAGAGGTGGAATGTTTTTTCAAATTTGAATGTGGCCACTACTGAGGTATCCACTTTCCAACAAAAAAAGAATCATCGACGTTTCCCAAATGTCGGAGTAGTCAAATAACATACACACATAAATTACAGTCGGACTGAGAACCTCCTTTTTGAAGTCGGTTTAAAAGAAGAAGACGTTTTCAATAAGAAGATATTTTCACAATATTTCGACCCCTCCTACGTAATCCTCAAAAGTAGGTAATTTTTTTCATAAATAGCTTTCTTCTTATGTATTATCTATTATACTCAGAAGGTTTTTTATTTTATTTTATTGATTGAAATACAGAAAAAATACTTAAACTTATTACTTTTACTAGTAAGTAAATTATAAAGTATGAAAAATAATAAGTATGTTTCAAATTTAATTGCAATACCTGGTAAATATATTATGCTAATTTTAGTCCTTTCGATACAATGACACGTTACCCCGTAAAGTTGTGAATTTGGGCTTATGGTTCTTTACGTAGGAGGGATCAATTTGTAACAAGAGGTATTTGGGGTAAAACCAACACATTTATGATATTATATTTATCATATTACCTTTTGGTCCGAGGTGGTGGCATGATATACTTGTCTCCGATAAGCACGCTTTCGTCCAATGTACCATCCAGCTGCAGGAGATCCCCAGCAGACACTGAGACGTCCAGTTTTTCGCGGTCAGCAGTCCAGAGGTACAGTATTACTATAAACATCTGTAAAACGTATTTACATAAAAGCTGTTAATTCTGTGATATAATACAGCGGAAATTAAAAATTCAACGCACACCGCCACAAAACATAATTGAAAATACGTATTTTTTATATTAACTTAACACAAAAAAATCAGTACAAATAAAATTATATACGTATGTATAGTAGTGTAGTTTATATAGATCATTCAGGTTTTTTTTCCAACTGTGGTAGCACTCCCTGGACAGCATCAACGCCCCCAATGGCTTTCGAGGCCAGTGGTAGGAGTAGTTGGTAGGGACCAAGGACTCTTCGGCACCCACTGAGGGCTAGAGACCACTTTGGGAAACTGTGTTCTAAAGGAATAATTGGAGGTAGGGCAGACACAATTGGTTGATGACTGTACCACCTCAGTGAACCGTGATCATGGGAACCATGACCATGGGACCTGTAAAGGATCCGATGGGTATTTGTGTATGTTTGGTATACGGTTTGGTATTATGCAATTTAAATTATTTATTACTGAAATCATTGAAATTGATTATTTTGTTTGTCTAATTGTTGTTTATGTCATTTTTTTTTATTTAGAGCCTAATTGTCCACAATTATTTGAATTTGATTTTTTATATCTTTTTTGCATATTCCTCAGATGATCAGATCCATGACTCATAACATGCTTTTTTTATTATTCAAACTTTTTTCTTTGTTTATTGTTTATAATTCACGTATTTTGCAAAAAAAATTCATTTTATTTTTATTTACTATATTGGTAAATCTGAGTAGGTTACTCCGTATCAATTTTTACCACAAAGGAGTATTCCAGGTTATTTCGCACCCCTCAGGAAGAATGGCATAAGTGGAGTTAAGTCAAACATGTTCATTGCTCCATTAGATACAGAAAAATATAACCCACATCCTCTCCAATTCTTGTAATTCTATCGACTAATATTGTAGATAGAGTTACCAGAATTGGAGAGTATGTGGGTTATATTTTTCTGTATCTAATGGAGCAATAAACATGTTTGACGTAACTCTACTTATGGAATTCTTCCATAAGAGGAGCGATTTGTGTAATTTTCTGATATAATATAATATACAGATAGACTTACCACACAAAGATGTAAGATGCAGATGAACAGCGTAGAACTTCGGAAACCAATGGAGTCAAAGAGGAGACCAGAGATTGTAGGGCCTATAAACGCTCCGAGGGCAAATGTTGACGTCCACATACCAGATACCAAACCGTAGGTCTCTATTGTGTTTGGTAAACCGCTTGCACTGTTTGAAAAAGGTAATAAACTTAAAGTTACCTATTGGATTCAACACACAAAGTTTTTCACTGAAACATGACAAGAAACCATTGTATGTTCATTCATTAATCCATTATACATTTTACTGCTAGAGACGGGTCTATTTTGCATACTCATGTATACAGGGAAACCCTGTATCGCGGGCGTTTTGTACAGACACATAGACAACCACAAATACACCCAAACTCACGAGACAAATAAATGTTGGCCATACAAATATTTCTCCAGGCCCGGAACGAACCCAAATGCTACGCAAAACATGTTAGACTTGTATAAATTTATTTAAAATATATAGCATTAAAAATAAAACTTAGATACATATTTTTTATAATCCTATTTACTAAAATACTTTTTTATGTTGATTTACCAAAATATTTGTTATTAATATAATTTGGCCTGAAACCATGTTGGGAAACGCAAGCAAACTCGCCGGCCGCTGCCATGGTACGTTTGTGCTGCTTTTTTATACTAATCTAACCTATTGAATGGAGGGTGCAACCAAGATTTGACCTATATGAAAAAATAAGGATCAACCAATGATTTTTGAATAACAAATATAAATTTAGTATTCTTAAACATAATGATAGTGTTACCTTAAATGCAGTCATCAAATATAAAAAAATGTAATTTATTTAAAAAAGTGCACATTTACAATAGATCAATTATATCTTTGAGAATCATTGACTTATGTTGAGAATCAAATAATATTATCTAGTTTGTCTACTCCATTATTATTGATACAAAAATCGAACAACTCAAAGACAAATTCCTTCCTTTCCGACTGTATTTGACCAAAGTCTGTTGTCTAAATGTGGCTTTTACTTATTTCTCTACGCTTATGTGGCGGAGCTTTGTATTTGGCTTAAAGGGCTTTTTGAACTTATGTAAATTTCTTCACTCAGAGAATACCTATAAATATTTTTTATTTTTTTTTTAGAACTTTACCGTCTGTGGTAGCCTAATGATTTAGGTATTTATTTTATTTTATTTTATTAAGTTATTTTAATTTCAAGATATTTGAATTAAGTTCTCCATTAACCCAAATTATTAAACGAAAAGTTATTTATGAAAGTTTATTTATAGCTTTCTCATATTTTTGTACGTAAGAAAAAAGGGTGTTTAATACCTGATTTTATAGTGTTGCCATGTCCATATAAGCGGAATAAAAATGGCTGTTGGTTTAGTAGATTTTTAATACTTTTTAATTAAGTGATTTAAAAAAACCGTGGTAGCTTAATGGTCACTTTTTGTTTTTTTTCTTTTTTTAGCCCCGCATTAAGGAAACGCTGTGTCGCGGTTGCCATGGACACACACATAGACAATCACAAATTACACCCAAACTCACGGGAGAAATAAATGTAGGCCATACATACATTTCTCCCGGCCCGGGAATCGAACCTGTGACCTCTGCGTGGCAGTCCGGCATGGTAACCGTTCGGCCACGGTTTGACCTACCGCCTCTCGAGCAGAGACTTTCGTTTGAACCCGGGCTCGCACTTCTGAGTGTCTAGGAAGGTGCAAAATTGAATTTAAAATTTACCATGACATTTTCGGTGAAAATTTTCTTTCAAACCAGCAGTGGGATGTATAAATAGGTTGATATTGAATGAAGCACTTTCAAAGGTAGTAAAGATCATTTAGCAATAAAGTCGTCTTTTGTACCTTATTGTAAAATGTGTATGTATTTGAAAAGTTTCTGTACAAACATTTTATAGATTGATAAAGTTAATTCAGACTATTATCACGTAATCTTAGTAAAAATTATCTATGAAGTTGCATAACAGATTTCAAATGTTCAACATCGTGATGATTTGATCCAAATAATGTTAGGTACGTAGGTAGGTGAACGCATTTCTCATCTGCAAGACACGCGACTTGAAATTTCAAATCAATCCGGAAAGAAATTGTGTGATGGCGGTGGAAAAAATTTGGCAATTTGCTGAGAGCTCATTATATTACGATTAGGTGTTTTTCTCACGATATCCAATCGGGGAATCCATTAGTGCTTAAGATATTGCAGCCGCTGTTGCGTTTACATATGCCCATGCACTGTCTGACCATGTCAGACAGATAACGGCAGATATCTGACTTGCTTGTTTGAAAAAACAAATATACGCGATTTAAATCCGGAAAAATAGTTTCATTTCCTATGTGTAACAATCGCGAAAACCTAAGAACTCGATATGTACACCAGTACGGACTGGATGTTGCAAATAAAATCCGGCGGTTTGAAGACCTCAAGAACAAACGTGCGCGCGCCCTAGCTGCATTAACTTTTCTCAAAAAGTGCCGCGACAATAACATAGTTCCAACATGCGTTAAAATAACTCCACGAATAGACATCTACGGTAGTGAACGCATACTCCGCCAAGCCAGTAAGAAATTATTGTGCAAACTAATCCACAATAACCGCTACTCAATTCAAAAATTTGACAATCAGATTACGGAATTATTGAAAGAATTGGAGGTAAAGTTAAGCAGATCTGATTTTAATAAATGCATTGAAATTACAAATAAACGATCAGAATTTAAATTTCAACAATCCCAAAAAACACAGATTGAAAAATTTAATAAACTTAAACTGAAGTGCACAAGTAACGAAACGTCAACGTCACTGTCAAATGATCAAACACAAACTCAATCTGTAATAAACTTATCGAACAAAACGTTAGATCAGTCTGCTTTTTCAGTTTTGCAAAAGGGTTTGAATTACGCAGTAGCTCCTCGTCGTGTTCCATACGAAGAAATTATTTGTAACGTTGAGGATTGTCTAGTTAAAAACAACATGAGAAAGGAAGATTTGGAGGCAATACGCCAAGACGTTTCGTCAATATTGCGTTCAAATAAACAGCCCAGACCGAATCTTACTCGAGATGAATATAACGCGCTGAAGACCTTCCGCGAAGATCCTGAATTAGTCATCCTCCGTGCAGATAAAGGTAACGCGACGGTGGTCATGAATACGTCAGATTATAACAGCAAAATAACTGACTTACTATCGGATGAAAGCACGTATAAAAAGGTGAAGAAAGACCCTACCACTAAGATATTAAAAACAACAACTAACTTAATATCTAAGCACTCCGATACGCTGAAACTTGATGTAAGTGCGTTTGTGCCCATCTAAAAAAAAACAACCAAAATATATCGACTTAACTGTTGAACTCAAAACGAAACACGCTTTGTGTGAGCTGGTTCTGGCAAAAAAAGTTGTTATTCTTCTCTTTTATTTTTAAATATGTACATTTGGCAAGTAGGAAATAAGTAATGCATAAATTTACACAGATCTTTCACGGGAAGCGAGTAATTCGTTTTTCGTCGATTCTGAGAAAATACACTTTTTGAGTTAATACACTATTGTATTAACAGTGCGAATTACATCATCGTACATTTATTTATTTATTTTTACTTTAAAACATTATTATTACAGACACATCAATTACAATCATTAAAGAAACATTATTAACAACTTACAAATTATTACACAAGATTTTCAGGCATCCCTTTCATAATAACGCAAACAATCTGACAATATCAGGAATATTGTCCAACCATCCGCAAACAAGTCGCATTCAGGGTTGGTGGTAAGGACTGAATTGCGCGCTGACAGAGAGCGCGGTATACGTTAGTCAGGTTGTTAGTGGTAATATAATATTTGGTTAATTTATTGCGACCCAAATGCAAAAAGAGATTCCATGAACTCACATGGCGGTGCTGAGCGCGTCGGTGAATGACGCCACGAGCTGGCAGCCGATGCCAAGACCATGAAGGACCAATCCCAGAATTGTAACCCACGTTATCCTAAAACGAACATATTAAAATATTTATAGTGTAACAATGTTATATTATATTGCCGGTGGCGTCATTGTTTACAAGCTTTAATTTCAAATTATGAAATTAAAAAAAAAATTGGTAAAATGAAACGTTTTTCGAATCTAAATTGAGTATATTTGTTTTTTTTTCATATTTCGTCCCATGGCCACGGTTCACTGAGATGGTAAAGTCATCAACCTATTATGTCTAACATCAATGCGACTTAGATCTGAAAAAATAGTTAAAATAGAGTGGATATTCGAGGTGATTGCGCAAGCCTAAGAACTCGATATGTATTTGTAGTTGAAAGATTTTTATAGCACTCTTTGTCGTATCGTACCGTATTATTCTAAAATTTTGTAGTCTAGCGCCAGACCTACTGAGTTTCAGGTGTGTTAAGTCGGCGCCTGCCACTTCATAATTTTATCATAAAAATAAAAATTGTGTGTCTGAATTTTCGGCAGTTGAGGCGTCAGGCTTATTAATGAGAGCATTATGAGCGCTGGCGAAATTACAGACACATGGGACTTGTCCACTTATGTCTCAAGGTGACGGAACAATACTTGATTTAACTCACAAATTAGAAAGATATAGCAGGACTCAGGTTCATCTTCTCGCTCAGAAACCCATCTGATTTCGAGACTACCCGATCGATCGATTCCGATTGAAGTTCTAAGAGATACTGTAACTGAACGACTTATTCATTACGTCACTTGGTACCATAAAAGAAGTTATGTACAGTCGACGCCCTAACCGTCTATTTGGTTCCGAGTATCAGTGTGAAGCAAAGTGTTAAATAAACAACCATATTGGTATGACTTCCTTATTGCATAATTAGTGAATCCCGATTTAACAAACCTTTTAAGCCAATTTAATCTTTAATTATATTACATAAATACAAATTCCAACCAAAAAGCTGGAATCCCGTTACACTTTTCTGTTGAACGCGTGAGAAGGCTCTCAGAACCAAAAAGTTCGGCGTCGACTGTAAACTACACGATAATATCGTGACAAATTAAATTGAACTTATTTACATATTACTGCGTTCGTAAAAAACTCTATACGTATTTATCAAACTCAGAGATCGTTAAAGAGCATTGCTATTTTAACAACATGAGTCAGGGTGTATGATTGACGGCACACCTGAATTCAACTTATTTAAAACAACAGATGATTCATATATTAAAGAATGCAAAATAATTTTTGAGGAATGATTCTTGTGTCTATTCTATCTATATAGAAAGGAAAGGGAGGTGTTCTTTTTTATCGTCCCTACCTATCGTCCGACCCGACAGATAGGGCGTTCCGGGGAGATTAAAGGCCCCCCGGTAAGATCATGGTACGGGGGGCGTCTGAGCCAGGCCCTCTGCCAGTGATACGCCTTCACGAGCGTCTCTGGCAGATCCGGACTTGGGTATGCACTCGCCGGGGTTTGTAGTTAGCTGTAGGGATAAACACGTACATCACGCGCGCACGCGCACGCAGACAAGGGCCTAAGGCGAGGAGACGCGCCGGTCACGTGAGTTCCCTTTAAGTCGGCAGCTATGTCCGGACATTATCGCAGGACACAGCTACCGGAGGGCTAGCACAGGATAGGCTAGATATCCTCCGGTCCCTATAGCCGCATAGGTTTCTGGGAACTGGAAAGATGCTTCGGCGTCGAGAGGTGAGCATGCCTATATACAGCTCGTATAACAATAAAAAAATCGATCTCAAAATTTTGTGGAATTACATCAACTTGCCAAGTTTAATTGAAATCGGTTAACGAAAACTGGGCAAGGTAAGCTCTTTCCAACAAAAAAGAATCATTTAAATCGGTTTACGAATCGCACCCCTCACGGAAGAATGGCATATGTTGAGTTACGTCAAAAATGTTTATTACTCCATTAGATACAAAACAACATAACACATCCTCTCAGATTCTCTAATATTGTAGATAGAGGTACAACAATTGGAGAGGTTGTGGGTTGCGTTGTTCTGTATCGAATGGAGTAATAAACATTTTTGACGTAACTCCACTTAAGCCATTCTTCCATGAGGGGTGCGAAATGTCGAAGTAATTACAATAAAAAATACAGTCGAATTATAATAACGCAATAACAATATTAACGTACACACTCAACATAATCCCGTACTACGGAAACCCTGAGTCGCGGGTGCCAGTCACAAATTATACCCTAACTCACGAGAAGAATAAATGTAGGTCATACAAATATTTCTCCCGACCCGGGAATCAAACCTGAAACGTCAGCGTGGCTGTCTGGCATGGTAACCGTTCGGCCACGTAGGCAGTCTAAAGGCAATTGAGAACCTCACCCTAAAAATGGAATACTAAAAAAGAGGTAACGGAATCTTAAGCGTTTCAAATTCATCTCACCCTTTAAAACTACATAATTCTAAGTGTGTGCGTTATTATTATTACATGGCAATTAACTTACGTCGGCATATCGAAGAAAGGTGCTGGTCCGACGAGGAGAAACCCTGCAGCAATGAAGATGCAGCCCATAATGGTGACGTATTTGGGCTTGATCGAAGGTCGGTCGCAGAGCCAGCCCCACGCGGGTGCTGAGATTGCGTATACACCGCCGTTGATTACGAACATCAGCCCGAGCACCATGTGGGAAAATTTAAACTGTAAACGGAAATTATGAATAAACTTTTTTGTTATTAGGCATGCAATTTCATTAGCAGAAGAGCTCCTTGTGAAAACGTTCGTCCAGGGAAGTACTGCCACCTTACCTATTTCTGCAGTCCAGCAGTAAAGTGAGCATTACTGCGTTTCGGTTTTGAAAGGTGCTGGTAAAATTACAAGCACGTGGCACTTGTCAACTTATGCATCAGAGTGGCGTGCGCAGTGACGGTGCTCCTCAGATCTTCGTGATTTCAAACTCTGAGTGGCACTACAACTGTCATGGATAGGCGTATTACTAAACAGGCGTACGACTTGTTCGTCCCGTCGTCGCTTGATGTCATGTGATAAAATAATAAAAAGCAAATGAATTGTCAGACTCAGTGGTAACAGATACATTTAGAGCGCCTGTCGTTTTATTACGATTTAAAAATTCTAAGATAGTTATTGCTGTTATAAAAAATTACTAGATATTGAGTACAATTTATGTATATTTAGTTGGATTTAGAAAGTCAGTTTTTCAGCGCCTTCATAAACAGGAGGAGGTTCTCAATTCGTCTGTATTTTTTTGTGTATATGTTACGTGATGACCCGGTATTTGTGAACCGATTTCCATGATTCTTTTTTCATTGGAAAAAAGGCACCTCCTGGAGGTAAGGTAGGTAGTAGTTGTCCGATTCAAATTTGAAGGATAAATTCTACCTCTAACGATGGCAAATTAAGGGATGAATCCGGTTTATTGTATTTCACTCTTTCCATAAAACTTAGCAAATAGGTGTAATTGCAAAACCTCTTAAGGTCGTTTTTTTTTATAAAAAAAGTAATTAATCTACTTTTTAAACTACCTGGTAACACAGATAAATATTTTTTTTTGTGATACTAAATGACGAAGAAGTCGCCGCCAAGCAGTAATGTTAGCATTACTGTGTTCTGGTTTTGAAGGTTAAGGGTGCTGGCGCAATCACAAGCACATGGAACTTATCAACTTATGTCTGAGGGTGACAGGCGAAGTGGCAGTGTCCCTCAGATCTTTGCGATTTGAAGCTCTGAGTGGCACTGCAACTTTTGTGAACAGGCGTGTCGCTTACCATCAGGCGCACAACTTGTTTGGTCCGTCGCTTGATATCATAAAAAAAGCAAAGGAACTGTCAAGACGAAATTTGAGTGTTAACCATTGACTTACAAATAAATGGACGACGGGTCTAATACAAAAACCACGAAAAAAATGTCCCAAGTCAACCTATTCGAAATTTAAATTGTAATGTCATCGCAGTATCGCGCTGTCAGTCGAACAAATGTAGACTAAAGCGGAGTTTGGCGCTCTGTATACGATTTTAGCGCCTTACAAGTGCGGACACTTTTCAGCGCGGGCCCGACGTCCATATAATTGTAAGTCAATGGTGTTAACACTCAAATTTAGAGCGCCTGTCATTTTATTACGATTTAAAAATACTAGGATAGTTATTGCTCTTATAAAGGATTACTAGGTGTTGAGTACAACATGAGTAGTAAGTTGGAATCCCGCGTGCATAATATTTGTTATTTGAAATTCATATAAAATATTTTTTAAACTACCAAATAACGGGGCGAACAAGGCCCTTACCACCAAGAGCACGACTAGTCGTGACTTTGTATCTTTAACAAAAAAAGAGTAGGTACCTAGGGAGTTGCTAGTTAGCTTAAATTGTAGTGTGGTGGGCGATTATATCCAGCATCACGGTAGTAGATTAGTTTAAGAACCAAAGTTACCTGTCTCAAGTGAGGTTCAAGTGTCGCCTGCAGGAAACCGATGCTCATACTGGTCGATATAATACTGATTGCGGCGAGAAAAACGCCAGGAATACGCAGTAGCGTGCACATTGTTGCTGCAAATTAAAGAAAAATAACACACCAATAGTTTCACCTATTAGTAATAAAGGAAAGTACGGCAATAATCCCTATTACCTAGATAATAAATTCACATTTGTATGCATTTATCCTAAAATTTGCAACATCCCAGCGGCCGTGGTTTAACGACACGCTGTGCTGTCCGCTGCCCCGCCATCGGGCGCTCGTCGACGTAGGATCTGTGTCAAATTTTCTCCGCCTGTTCTTATTTTATTAACCGATTTAGAAAAGGAGGAGGTTCTCATTTCGACAGTATTTTTTTCGTAATTATGTTACGCGTTAGCCGATTTTGATGATTCTTTTTTTGTTGGAAACGGGTACCTCAATATTGGTCCCATTTAAAATTTAAGAAAACATTCCACCTGTAAGGGTGGCAAACTAGGGGATAATTCTAGTTTCGCGCACTTTCCGGAAACCGATTTCAATAAAACTTAGCAAATGGATGTAATTCCACGAGCTTTCGAGGTAGGGTTTTTTTGATACTCTATACTGAGATAGTCATATAAATTTACAACCACAGACCACATAATTTACAACGCACGGATTGCGGGACGTGAGGGGCAACCCCCCCACACCTCACCTCCTAAAATCTACCCTCACGTTGAAATTAAGGAAAAAAAAAAGAAAAAAAAACTAAGAAAGCCTTAAGAAAAAAAAGCTATTTTTTTGTCCATACGTTTAAACCGCGCGCACGTTGTGGCAAAACAATTACGTATAATATCAGTTTCATATACTCGGACAAATACGATAATAAATCAATTGCAATCTAGAGCATACGGTCTGTTTTGTACAACGATAAGCATGTCATTGATTCTATTTATGTATTTACATACGTATATTACAATGTTTGCTATTATTGTGTGTGAGGTACATGTGGCAGCAAATAATAAGCGTGTTGTTTTCTAAGTGCATTTCATGCGTTGACCTTGACACCGGATGAGTATTGAACTTATTGTATTGTAAGTAAACTGTAAAGCTATTTATACTTGATGCTAATTATATAGTATATAGTTCATTATATAAGTTGTAATTTATAATTTAATAAATTAATGAAATATTAACGTTATTTTGTATCTGGTTATCTATAACGTAAAATAATTAAATGTTCTAGTCATATGTAAATATTTTTATTGTTACAATACATAGGTTCTGTTGGCATTCTCAAGATCAGAGGTCTTCACATTTTTTGTCTTTTACAACTTATAATATTGAATTTTGTACAAATTCTTTAACACAGACACAGGGCTATTCTACGGAATTCTTTTCAATTTAATTTATGGTCAAGAACAAAAAAGAAAAAAGTAATTTCAAATTTTAAAGTAGAAAGGGCGCCATTTTGAAAAAAAATTAGGGGAGCATGTTTTAGGTTTTAACGACTACTATAAAATATTTACGACTTCTTGTAAAATTCAAATTTGATTTTATTTAAGATTCGTTTCAAAATTGAATTAAACGCGACGTAACGACATTTACAACTACAACATCCTGAAAAATTTTTCAAAATGGCGCTTTCGCCCTTTCAACAAAACACCGACGACGATAATAAGCAGGTAGTTTTCATTTGACATGTTACGTTTTTGCATCTCTAAGATTAAATAAATTATGTTCACTTGCACTAAAATTAAGTACGTCTTGAATGCCAATGCTTAAATTTATAAGAATTCTTAACACAATGTATTAAGAGTGTGTTTTGAATTGCAAGCTCAACATTCTTTGACCTTTTAGACGAAGAAGCGAAAAATTGTGTTTTCGCGAACTTACTATGTATGTTCAACATGATAATTTACTATCGTTTTTCCTATTTGTTCCTCCTGTTGTAAGTGTTCGGTATTGGGCCGCACAGTGATTCGATATTCGGGTCAACAGCAAAAAGAAGGCCGAATAAGCCTATTACTGAATATCAGTTACAACTGTGAGTCGATACTATCACAGCTCGCATTAAAATATTAATTATCATAAATATTTATTTTGCTTAGATCGAGCGGCATTGGCTTTATTTCAGATTTTTTTTTACAAACGAATTTAAAACCATTTGAAAAACGTATATTATATACTATACGTGTTCTATTTAGTTCCGTTGTTATAAAAACAATCATGTAAAGCATCTGAATACAGCAGTTTTCTTGTAAAATTTCGAGGAAAGTTTGTGTGATTTTTCTATCGTGAAAATTTTTGAGAATCATGTTTGGACGCCATATAGTATCAGTGTTTGTCCTCAATTTTTTACATGTTTTTGCCAAAGTGATTGATTCAACATTTTCACTCTTAAATATAAGAGTTCTAAAATGTCACGTACACATAATATTTCATTTAGTTTGCATTGTTTTTATAACTTTCATATGATAAAAGCACTTTTGACGTACGATTATATTTGTGTATGGCGTATATTTTTTCACGTATTTCTGATATCTTCCCTTTTTAAATTACTTTAAACTAATAATATTTGTCAAAACTCCTTTAAGTATGTATTTCATTCTAATAGCTTTTATAAAGTTGTAGATTATTCTCCTACTAAAGTCAATATAGCAATCTTCATTTTATCAACAATTGCTTCCAAAAAACCGTTACATGAATTTACTCCTAAACCTGGACTTCACTCGTCACAGAACACAATGATGAGTCGAAGAATATCATTGGAAATATACATACGTCCAGTAGGCCTTAAGTCTTCGTCATCATGGTTCCTCGGCAGCGCCAGGCAGGTCATAAAAGCCGCCAAGAAGAGCGCAGAACCGAGCACGGCGAACGGCAACGTGTAGCCTCCAACGGTGTACAGAGCTCCACCCAACGTCGGTCCCACGATCAAGCCGAGGCCGAAAAAGGTTTCTAATGACGCCTGAAATAATTCAAATGCGACAAATTTTAATGGAGATTTTGTTTGCATTGTCTATTTATGAGTTAAACCATTTATTTCTTTATGATACACAGGTTATAAATTGTTACAAGAACGAATTTTGAATCACTGCGATCCGCTTTTTGGCATACAATGTTTTCTTAGTTTTAGTAATTCTCATTCAATAATTTGTAATACTATAATTATGCAGTCCAATTAACACAACCTAATACTATAAGATATAACAACAATAGTAGAACATATCAATAACAGATTTATTAATATGAAATGTAAATTTTATGAGAATTCTCCAATAATGTAGTACGTCATATCACTCAGGTAATTAAATAATAACTTCTTAAATTCTGCACTAACATTGCAATTGACAATTTCACGTGGAAGTTTGTTGTAGACCTTCGTAGTCATTACTACTGCATTCTTTTGAGTAGAGCAGTTTTACAAATTGTAGTGCGTAGAGTTTTGAAAACAGTCGCTCTGTGTCGTAAATTCTGAGAGGTAAATTCTTGTGTTATTCAATACAAACAAATATTCTTTATTTGACAAAACAAAAGACAGGAAACAGCAGGCTGGATCTGATTTGGCAACCTATTCATAACTTTTGTAAGCCGACTTAACTAGGCTGGTTTAATAATTATAACTTAAAAAAAACCGGTTTTAAAAGTTCGTGGAATCACATCTGTTTGCCAAGTTTATTAAAATCGGTTTACCACTCTTTTTAAGAACGCACACACTCCACATAGCCCCGCACCAGGGAAACGCTGTGCTGCGGTTGCCATAGACACACATATAGACAACCACAAATTACACGCAAACTCACGAGAGAAATAAATGTAGGCTATACAAATATTTCTCCTGGCCCTGGAATCGAACCTGGGACCTTTAACCGTAACCGTTCGGCCACTGAGGCACTTAATCTACGGATCAATTGTCTTGATTTATAATTAATCTATATATATATTTAAGCATACTAAATTAATATTTGGTACTCAAAAATAATATATGATTCTCTTTTTTCATATAGGTCAAATCTGAGTTGTGCCCTCCATTCAGTAGGTAGGATAGGTTAGGTTAGTATTTGAAAAAGCAGCACGAATTAACTTGCATTTCCCTACATGGTTTCCGGTTTTTTTAATGCTCATTTGTGTTAGTTTTGAGGCTCAATATTAAATCAAAGTTAATTTATATGATCATCTAAATACATGCCAATATTAATTACGCCTTCAGATACAAGCCTAGCTAGATTACCGTGTATTATTACACGTTATAGTACATAAGTAACGAATGAATGATAAGGGATAACTTGTCAACTAACACGATCATAGTTTTGCGAAAATTGCATCTAAAGATTTTTTGGGTGTTTTTGATTGTTTGTTCAAAAATTTACTTGCAAAATGAAAATTTATGCTGTTGTCGCCTTAGGAAACGTGAATTGTAGTGATTGATTTACTTATTAGATTAATTAATTCATTAATTCATGGAATACCATCAGCAACTTACATTTAATAAAAACAGAAAAATATACATAATGCCAATTACAGGTTTCCACCTATAACTTCAGACAAATGAAACACTAGCATCAAACAAACGAACAATAAACAGTATTTCTTAACAACATGCACTTACATAAATATAACAATCCAATACCTGCGTCAACTGTCACAATTTATTCAATAAAATTAAATAGAATGTCCGTGAAGTTACGCTTTAGCGCATCAACATTACAATTGAATACATCAACATCCAAGTCATGATTGCTCAGCACACTGTCCAAGCTCTTGCTAGCTCTCTACATATAAAACTGTTTTGTCTATAATTAGGCCTCGCTAAGGGAACTCAATAGGGTGATAGTGTCTCATAGAACGCGTGGGTATATTAAGCGAAACAACAACAGTCAACATTACCATTTATAAAGTTTAGAATATAGGCTATATCAAAAATTTTTCGGCGAATATTTAGAGGTAATAGATTCAGATCCTTACAGAGACTTATTATAGTTCCCCAACAACGACAAACACAACAGCAAAGTTTTCATTTAATTAAATTTTAAAACAAATTATCAAAAACAACGAAAACAATCTATCTTCTATATACTTCTATAATCTAGCAAATGTATGATCATGTTGATTGCCACGTTGTTGCTGATCAACATCCAACTCATTCTTCTTCTTATAATGCTTGCCATCATGGTGAAAAAAATTCAGGAAAGGTTCAGTAAAACTCACGAGGAGTCCTTATTGAAAAGATCAAATACTTACAAACATTGTAGCGACATTATCAGGAAACTCTTTGGCGATGATTGCGAAGGAAGCGGTTAGGAAGGCCGCGTTGCCCATCGCCTCCACGATACGAATAGCAAAGCTGAGCGTTATGAACGGGATGTGGCCTTCAACTTTGTCCAGTAACCTGGAGATATAAATAGTCTAATTGGCATAGCGTCTGGCATGGTTTGTTAAGAGTCGTCGGTACGAATCCGGCCGGATCCAAGGAATTTTTTCTAAGTGTGCAATCTTTGTATTAATATATTTAATATATATTTTTTAATACTATAATATCTTTATTATTTAATAATAATTATTATTATATAATAAGTCTGGAGCCAGGAAATTTCACTACTTAGCAGTTTGCCATATAAATGTGGAATAGAAGCGGTTCGTACGAATCCTTGGAATTTTCACAAAATAGGAGTGGATCCCAAGCTTACGTCTAGTCCCCCAATGGTGGAAAGGGGTAGGTGGAATAAAATCGTGCAATTCCGCCGCACACTCCGTGATTTATCCAAATATTGAGCATTTAACTATCTCGATATCATTATTTTCAAACCATTATAAGTCCCATCACTAGCCACAGGTGTCCTCTAAGAAGAGGGTTTAGATCGTGATCCGAAACGCTGACCAAAAATGCGGGTTGAGCAAGCCAATCTAATTATGCAAATACGTGGTCTTGGGGTATAAGAGATTATGTGTCCTGTACCAGTCACAGGCACAAGCTTTGGCAGTGATTTTCCCCACTCACCAACTTAGAACGCAGCAGTATTATTATACAGAAAGAAAAGTTATTATGGGCCGGTGTCACTGCCATTTCATAAAAACTGGTTGTCAAAAGTTGCCGTTCGCACCCTGGTAACTCGTTTCGAGCGAGTTATTATACACGTACAGCGTTATGATATAGAGTATTAAATAATGATAATCTTTTCTTCGTTGTGTAAGTAAAGTCTAAGTGATTTATATTGTTATATTGATGTAAAAACTAGTAATTAAGTGGAAAGGTGTGATGTATGTAAATAAGAGATAGTTTTGTATTAATAATTAAGTAAGTTGTAAAACACTTATATTTTGCCCTGTGTACTTTCCCTTTGTCTCCCAATACACCTACTCTGTGGAGTCAAGACGTGTTTCCATCATATTATCGAATTCCCCAATATACATATCTAGGATATAGGTGCTAAGTCTACATACTTCATGGACAACGTCTAAAACTAACTAATATTGCAGCTATTATTAAAACCCTGCTTCATTAAAGTTTAACCAAAAAATGTTACCAAAGATTTCTCCTAAGAAGTAAAGGACATTAAGTAAATATGATCTTAAATTTCGAAATGTATGGCTCTGTGGGCTATCAGTATGATACTGTAGCCGCCAGACCCAAGTAGAAGATGTAGAAGATCTCGACAAGGTCGTAAAATGAAAGACGAAGTTTACTGTAATATATTGGTAATAGGTTACTGGTTTACAGGAGTAGTGCCATTAATCGCTAAACAGTCGAAGCTTCTTATGAATGTACAATTCAAAAGTGAACGTCCTCTTTGACCTTTTTTAGTTCGTACAAAAAGTTCGTTAAATTGTAGTAGGGATGAAATAACACGTATGTGGTGTTAGTTTATTGGTTCAAAACAGAACCTCCGGCCTACGTAATGTGCCCTTGACGAGCGTTTAGATACTGCTTCGAAAGTTATATTAAATTTTATTACAAAAATTGTGTTTTGTTCGCAACAGACACTTACCCAAAGAAAATTGCACAGGTCCCCGTTGTGAATATCCCTGCATTAAACAGCAGCTTGGTTCCCATTCGATTAATATGCGCTCCATATATCGGGCTGATAAGGAAGACGACCAACTCGAAGACTCCAAAGACCAGTCCATATTCCGTCGCTGAACAACCTTTATACTCCGCCTAGAGATATAAAACATTTAATATGCTGACAAGTTTTTGGGACCTTGAAATAATGGTATTAGTGTTAATTTTATAAATCAGAGTTTACATTGGTAATAGGAGTTATTAGTTTTTTTTGACATTGTATTGTTCTGCGCACAGGACTATTTAAAAAAAGAACGTTGTATTTTTAGTAATCAAAACATCAAATATGACGCCACTCAGACGCTTTAATGTCTGTTGATTGGTTAAAATATAAGCGGTACTTGGCCAATCACGGACTCTTCATTCTATCCCTTTGGTTTTTTATTTTGTAGCTTTGTTTGGCTTTCGTGGATTGTTAACAAAATACATTCAATATTTGTTAATCATTATTTTAATAATAGAATAAGTATTGTGTATACCTAATCACTATATAATTAGGTCTTAAAATCTCGTACCTGTTAATTACTTCGGTACTCGATTTTAATTTTTCCATTATTATGCAACGATTGCATAAAATTCTATTATTCACTAGCAAATAATGATTAATGCACTAAATAGGTAAAATCGTTTTGATTCGGTCAGTTTACGTGTAATATATATGAGTTATCCCGCCGGGCATTTGTATGACGTTGTGCGGTTAGTGCGAAATTCGAGGTTCCGCGCTCTACCGCCCGCGGTATATTTTCGCTTGCTTTGTGAAATTAGTTTTGCCGGACATCCGCACACCCCGCAAGAGTGACGATTAGTTGACGTAAAGGAAGGACCGTGGAGTCCCAGTGCCCTTCATCTGTACAAAATTTTATTTAAAAATTTAATAGACTGTCTGGGAAACCTAAGGGCCGGCATTACCTTGCCCAACGCATTAGCATAGCCGTACAAAGGGGGAAACGCTGCCAGCATCTTCGGCACCTTGTCGCGGGGACCCAATTTTATTCATATAATTTAAAAATCCTACTTTTACTTTCTAGTATTTAAGCTTTTATTGTACCTTACCTGTATATTATCAATCTTAATATAAATCTTTATGTAAAATTTTACGATTATGACGTCGAAACACAAATGAATTGAGAGTTGTGGTTTAATTCACGGCACAACACGGCGAAAATCAAGAAAGTTAGAATACCGATACGGCAAGATATCCGCTTAGGTTTGAACAGTAGGAATACCGCAAATCCACTCGTATTTGCTATCCACCGAGGAACGAATATCGCGTGTACGTATATGAATAAGCCTTTAGTTTTTATACCCGTCTCTGTAAATATATTCGTAAAAAACTCGATTTGTGACTTGAAATAATTGAACTAAAAGGTTAATGCGTTCAGTCTATAGTAAAAATATTTAAATGTAAAATTATGCACTCGGAAATAAGCAATAACGTGCAAACAAAAAAGAAAGACTGTAGCGAATTCTCATTCCGCCTATTTAATTCTAAAAACGGAACGTACACAACTAAAACGTCTGTGCGAATGAAAAATACCTACTGGAGGGCAATATGACAGAAGTAGGTAATTTTAATTACAATATGTTAACAATTTGTCTCTAGAAAAGTTCCTGAGAGTGCCTGCACACAGCTACACACACACACGCGCACTCGCACGACTGTCCTACGATGCAGTAAAACTATTTCGGGACATCCGGAATTCGAAAGATGTAATTAATTAATATTTGTTGGTATTAACAACTCTATGTCGCTCCTTGTAGCTGTTACATTGATCATGACGTCAATCTATGTAATCTATATCACAGGTCTATGTTAATAAATTTATAATTTGGTTTATAACATGATTGGTAGAGAACTTTTTATACGTTGTTGCACAGCATTGACGCAAATCATGTCCTTTGAATAACACTTGACAACTTCCTTATTTCTGTTTCGAAGCTTTTATTGCATGAAATAAAATTGAATTGTTATTTTATTATTACAATACTAGATTTTATAGCGTCTGTTCAAATAATTTTTTTTAAATTTAAATATAGTACATTAGTGGCACGTCCTCAGCTAGCCAATGTAGTTAGAACCACAAAAAGTTTAAAAATGCTAACTTTACTCCTAAGCTTTATCTTTTGAAGTTTTTTTTAGTATCTGTAGATCTCCTTGTAAAAGAGTTCGTCCAGGACAGTACTGCCACCTTTTCTATTTCCGCCGCCAAGCGGTAATGTCAGAATTACTGCATTCCGGTTTAGAAGGGTAAGGGTGCTGGCGAAATTACAGCACATAAGATTTATTCACTTACGTCTCAGGGTGACAGGGCCAGTGTCTCTCAGATCGTTGTGATGTAAAGCTCTGAGTGACACTGCAGGTGCCATGGACGCGCGTGTAAAGTTGGCGTAGTGTTCATTGGAGGTTTCGAGGGTTCTTGATCTTGTCGAGCCGATAACAAACTGGCGTTAAATTTCTTTGGCCCAGTAAGTAGCCCACCTCTTTACCCCTATCCGTTGACTTGGCCTTTAATTGAAATAGGTACACCGGCAAAGTCAAGAGAATGGGCGTATATAATAATAAGTCAGAAGTAGACATGTGCGCCATATGAATTTGACTGGCGACCTAAAATCAGCGTGTCGAAAATTTGTTTTATTTTAATATGCTTTATCGTTAATTACGTACTATATCAATGGAACTGTCTGATGGTACTTCGGTAAAGAAAGGCTATATTGCAATTACAATTTATTCGTACCGTTAAAAATAAAAATAATAAATAATGACATTCCTGTTTACGTACTTCATTTATAGTATAAAGATGATGATAAACATTGTTTAAATATAAGAGTCGATTTAAACAATGTTTTAGTGATTTTTTTTTACACCCGAACAATGCTATGCCAATTTTACACCGATCACGCCGCTATCAGACGCCGTCGTCGACGGTTTTACGAGGATGGCGGATCCATATTCTCTGCCTATTGGAGAAGGGGAAAAACTGCTAATTTTTTAAAAGGTTTTAACCTTTTATTTGAAAAAGAAATCGTGCTTTTTTAAACAATTTTTAGTTTGAAGCTTACAAAATCGTTTAGAAAGACATACGCGCATAGACTTTTATGTTAATAAAAACATGCAACGTTATGTCGATAGCGAAAAGGAAGAGTAGACCCGTAGACCACTAAAGGTTTTAAAATAAGTAAGTTTGTGTGTAAAACACGAGTTTTATTTTTATTTATAAAATTATTCACATCGACTTAATTGCATTAATTTGTTTAGGAAACATAGATGGCGCGACTTGAACACGTTAAGCACGTTGACGAACGCTTATGCTTGAATTGAAAAGTGTGCTTATGTACTTATTTTAAAAACAAAACTTTTTAAAGTGCTTTTCGTTTAAACGCCCACCTCTACTGCCTATCCCGTTATGAAATAAGCGTGGTGGTGTGTTTTTTAATATAAGATTAAAATCACTGTATATAAGTGTCGTGATCAACGACATTGAATTACTGTAGGCATTTAGAAACGAATGTGCAACACCAGCGCCAAAATCAAATGTAGGTGATGAATACATAAATGCAAATTGACGAGTGTTTATAATTAAGGACAGTAATTATGTTCCGATAAACTTGGCTCCTGGGTTATCAGCCAATTGTCTGAGTTGACCACGATTGTATTTAGTTCCTAGACAAGTTTATGATAAACCAACACGTACAAATAATACAACTAGCATGAATTGACTAGAGGGGGAGTTGAAGGCGCTTAATCCGTATTGTAAATTAATTAGCTAGCCTAAGTTTGGCTCAGGACGTTACTGGATACCTTATTTAGTTATTATACCTGAATGTCTCGATAGAGCGGGACGCGTTATTATTTTTGGTGGAGTGTCTTCTAGTTGTGATTTTGTTTTCCTAGACAGCGACGAGAATGACGGAGTGATCCGGTTCGTGGATTTTTATTTAATATGGTACAAAGTGAAGGGACGACCAAGTCCTGTGCCTAGTGTTAAGTCCATAGCAGTTGCAGTGCCACACATAGCTTGAAATCGCAAAGATCTGTGGGATCTTGACAAGTTCCATGTGCCTGTAATTCACCAGTACCAAATCCCGGAACGCAGTAATGGTCATATTACTGCTTGGCGGCAGAAATAGGTAAACTACTGCTACTAAAAAGTGTAGATGATTTATGATTCTTACGAGCGAAGGAGAAAACAAACCCGAAAATGATCTTTCAGTCTTAGAAGCTCCATCAATTGAATCCAAGTTTTGTCGATCTTAGCAATCCACCAACTCTTTCGAGATATGCTAGGAGGTCAAATCCTCATCCGAGGGCACGCGTTGCGATGTGATAAGTTGTGATAATATTTTTATCTAATCCATTTGGTAAATAAATAGTACTTTAGCTATTCATACTGTATAGGTCAAAGGCTGACGTATTGCGATACTAAGGACAATAAAGATCATCAGCACCGCAAATGTCGTCAGACAATTTCCCGTGTGAATACAAAAAAAAAGGCTTAACTGTGTTGCAATGAATTAAAACAAAAGGTTTTAATAATCTCATGTCGATTACCCGACAAACCATTTGTAATGATTTTCGTAAAAGTAAAATGAAAATTTGGAGATTCTTGTTTTGTAATGGCAACACAAAGAAAAAAATATTAAGATGATGGGTTTTGGGTAAAAAAATGGCGCAGAAACCATGTTGTTTTCATATGAGATTACCGAATTACAGTGTGCGATATTTTCGAAATAAAAGGAAAATGTAATTGTTGCACCTTTGTAAAGTGAGAAGGAATAAATAGAGTACAGCATCAGTTTAAAGTTTCATTACATATTGATAGAAGTCAGTTTTTGAGTTATATGAACATGCAATCACGCGACTGCATCGAGACAAACATGCGAGGCCTTAGGCCCTCGTCTAGATCGCTACGAAGACGCGCTAGCTGCGCGCGCAGACGAACGTGTTCGTCCCTGTAGCTAACCATAAACCCCGGCGAGTCCATACTTAGGTCCGGGTCTACCAGATACGTGAACACGTATCACTCGCGGAGGGCTTGGCCTGGCCCGCCCACTGTACCCTGGTTCCCTATCTCTCGGGTCAGTAGATAGGGACAAGGTAGGGTGGCAGTACTTCCCTGAACGAACTCAATCAAGGAGCTCTACTGCTATTTAGGGATGTCTTTAAAAAAGCCGGGTTAAACGTATCGAGAATAAAGGGCATGTATGAAGAGGTGATGAAAGAGACTCAGTCTTTTAAGGCCTTTTAAAAAACCTCGACTAATTCTTAACGCCTCACGACTAGTCTAGTCTTTTAACCCTCAAGTCTTGAGTCATAAGACTAAAACTGAAGACTAATTCGAGTAGAAGTCTTTTAACCCTAGGAAGATTAAAAGACTTATAGGACTAAAACGACTAAAAAGACTAAAACGACTGGCGCCTCATAGCCTCGGGAGTCGCGAGTCATGAGCCGTATGGCGTAATTTTATTTCTACCCACAAGGTATTTATTTTACGATTTTTATTATACTACTTACGTCATTTTCATTTATAAACTTCGGGTTTAATAAGACATAAAATAGGTATAAGTCCTTTGCAAACAACTCGAGTCGTTTAAGTCTTTCGAGTCGTTTAAGTCTTTTGAGTCTTTTTTTTCTTTATCAATAAAAACTCGAACCCCCAGTCTTAATTTTACAGTCGAGTCGTTACAAAACGCCTTCAAAGACTGAGTCTCTTTCGTTACTAGAAGAGAATGATGAGAGTAGAGGAAGCGAAATAGGTTTGCCAGTCTCTACCCACCCTTGTGGTATAAAGGCGTGATGGTATGTATGTATGTATGTACTTATTTCGTTTGTACAATCTTTTTTTTAACGCACACGCTCATAAGGGAAACCCTGTATCGCAGGTACCAGGACACGCACAAAGACAGCCACAAATTACAGCCAAACTGCCTTCGTGGCTGAACTGCCACGCAGAGGTCCTGGATTCGATTCCCAGGCCAGGAGAAGTATGTGTATGGTTCTTTCGCGAGTTTGGGTGTAATTTGTAGTTGTCTATGTGTGTGTCCAAGGCACGCGCGACTCAGGGTTTCCGTAGTGTGCGGCTATGAGTGTGTAAAAAAAACTCATGAGAGAAATAGGTAAATGTAGGCCAGAGTGGCAGACCAACATGGTAGTCGTTCCGGTACGGAGGCAGTTATTAGAGCACATTGAATACATGTAATTGTATGTAATTTATTTGTATTGGTTATTTAATTAGCTAATCAATAAAGAGGCAAAATTTTTTCATGATTACATTTTCTTAATTTCTATTGTGATTAAAAAAACATCTAACTAGATTTTGTCTCAATAACTCACCTCTTGCGGGTAAAATGGTGCTTGTAGCGCAACACAAATGGCATTACAAAAGTCAGCAATGGATATCACAACAATAGTCAGCCACTGTCTGCGAGAAAACTGGAAACCCATTGCCACCAAACAACAAACTTTGTATTAATTACCTTATTTAACTAAAGTTCTATATGCCCTTTAAACCAAAGATAATTATTATATTTAACGACCTTAAAAAGCTACTTTAATGATGTTTTTATTTATTTATTCGACGTCGAGTAAAAACCATTTTTATAATTAAATTATTACTCAAAAATTATTTTATTTAAAAATGTCTATACTAAATAAATCACAGCCACATAAAAATCTAAAGTATATTTCAACTTGACTTAAAACAAACGTCCTATAATTCCAGACGTAGAGAAAACACTGACAGCACTATCATCTGGACCGAGGATAAGTTATTGCAAATTAATAAATCAATATAGAAAATTATTTCCGTTCAACGTAGTAAGAACAGTGTCCTGTGCTGGTATAATATTGATTGTAATTAACATTGTTTAAATAAACGCGGTAATGGATAGTGTAGTATTCTAGAGAACTGTAGTAGGGATCCGAGTCACATGCGTACACGCAGGGTTTGTGAAGTAATGACCGCGGGAAAGATAAACAGCTAAATTATCGGCCACGATAAAGGGTGCAACGTGCAACTTAAATAGGATAAGTGAGGACTATGCTCATTGATTTGTTTTTAAACTTTGTTTTTGTTTTTATGTATTGGATATTTTTATTTACAAATTAAACATTTTTATCCTTACTTACTACGTTGTACGATTAGTAAACATTCTCTATTAAGTAGTAGACCTACTTGTTAAAGAGTTCGTTTAGTGTAGCACTACTGTAATGCTTACGTTACCGCGTAAGGGTGCTGGTGAACTTACCGGTACATGGGACTTGTCAACTCATGTCTCGGGGTGACAGGAGCAGTGGCAGTGCCCCTCGGATATTTCCAATTTAAAGCTCTGAGTGGCACTGGAACTGTTATGGACAGGCGTGTAGCTTACCATCAGGCGCACGACTTGTTCGGCCCGTCACTTGATATTATATGAAATAATTGAGTTTATAGACAGTTGTCGCTAGCGAAAGCGTAAATGACTTCATAATTTTGTATGGCAAGTTATACAGCGTCTCTAAAGTAACGTTTTGTTGTATACAAATATTTTACGCTGACGGTTGCGACGGTTCTGGTGTCAAACTGAGAAATTACCTGTATTACCAGAGCAATGGAATTCACTCTGAGCCTTTGATTTAAAATAATAATTTTTATTTGTTCTTTTTTATTTCCATTAGGATTTCATTTTTTTTTTATTTCATTATTTTTTATATATCGTCTGCTTAAACGTAAAACCACATAAGTGATATTTTCCACAAAAATCTCCAAATTATGTACCTGTTGTGAGAAAATCATCATCTTTCTGCGAATAAAACTCTTATTGAGTTTATAGCTTTCTTGTTACCGAGTTTCACCTGCAGAAACATAGTGATTTTCTTACTAATTAAAGACTTTTTGTTTAAAATGTCACTTATGTGCTTTTTACCTTTAAACAGACGAATTATTATGGTTTAATTTAATTACATGTTTTTCGTTCATCATCAACGTCCCACTGCTTGGCGCCTATTTCCTCTTAGGTTAGGATTTTATTTAGACCATAGTCTACTATGCTGGCCCAATGTGGTTTGGGGACGCCACACATTTTGCGAGGATTGTGAACCTTCAACACGATCGATGTTTTCCTTCACCGAAAAGCTCATGGTAAATTTCTAATTAAATTTCGCCATATATTCCGAATACTCAGAGGTACGAACCTGGATTCGAACTCACGGCCTCTGCTTGACAGACGGTATGTCAAACCATTAAGTTACACGTTATATTTTTATTTAAATTTAATTAATTTCTTTGTCTGTTCAATTTAATATATGTACCTATTTAATCAGAACAACCAGTCAGCCAGTTTAGAAACGTTCGTTTCCCAAATTACTTTTACTGGGAATTGAACTTGGGACCTCCACATCCAACTACCGTTAGGCTACCGCGGTCATCAAAGGTAGCAATTTGATTATTGCACTACAGCATTGGTTCGACAGGCTACTTACCGAAGCATATTATGTCCTCGTTACGGCCCTTGCGTCGTACGTCGTAATACATGTAATATGTTCATTATGAGAGTACAAATTTAAATTTGCGGTTGATTTTCAACATTTATTTACTAATTGTCGAGTATATGATAGTTTTAGGGTATAGCTGGTTTTACTCCGGCGCATTAACACCTCACGCCAGGTGGTGCGGACTATCAATAATCAACGTACAGAGTACTAAAAAATCCGACCTCAAAAGTTCGTGTAATACTCAAAAACCTTTTTTATTATTAAAAACTAAGTTTGCATTTGACTTTCATCTCACCTGATGGAAAGTGACGATGAAGTCGACGATGGAGCATGCACACCTAAATAATGCCTATTCACTCTCGCCTGGAAAAGGTCCAAGTCGAATCGTTCAGGGAACAAGTCGAATCGTTCAGGGAACAAGTCTGCAGGCAGGGAATTCCACTCCATAGCCGTTCGCCATATAAATGTGGAAGCGAAACGCATCGTGCGAATTCTTGGAATCTCCTCAACACAGTGGTGGAACCCCAGCCTATGCGTGGTCCTCCGATGAAGGAAAAGGGAAGGCGGAATTAATTCGTGCAATTGCCTCGCACACTCTCCGTGATGTGGCTGTGTTCAAGGCTTTGCAGCTTCGCCTCTACTAATTCCGAGTCACCTATAAGCCTCTTGGTACGCTTGTCAATTGAAGCCAAGGTTGCCGCTTGGTATGTAGCAGATCCCATACGGGGCAGCAGTGCTCCATACACGACCGGACTTGTGCTTGGTTTGGTACAGTTGAAGCAACTGTTCCGTATTTGCCATGTTTTGTTGAAATCGGTTATCGGAAAGTGCGCGAAACCGGATTCAATCCCTAGTTTGCTACCCTTTTTACGTGGAATATTTTCTTAAAATTTAAATGGGACTAATACTGAGGTACCCTCTTTCCAACAAAAAAAGGATCAAAATCGGTTCACAAGTTATCGCGTAACATACATAAAAAAACAAAACTATACTACTAAAACGAAAAAAGTCGTGGTTACGCAACCTAAGGGAGTGCACTGGAGTCACGAGTGCACAACAGCTGTTTCGTTTGGCCATGGATAAGGACAAATTTGCCATATTGACGGCCAACCTCCAGTAGCCGAGAGGTAATTTAAGAAGAAGTAGTTATAATTATTGATACAAAGATCTAACACTAAGAAAAATTCCTTCGTCCCGGTTAGAAACGAATCAGCGCCTTCAGCATAGCATACCGCCACGCTCTCTCAACTGAGCTACTGAATGAACCACTATTCACTCAGGTACTTTTACACTAGTGATGTCATTTTAATAATTGTACTTTTTAAGTTTATTGAATAACCCAGTGTTTTTCCAATCATGATATCATAGAAAAATAAGTAAGTTGGTGAATATTTTCACAGTGGCATAGTGAGGTCTTGTGTTAATACGACTTAAGCAATCGACGTTCCCGCCGAGGCTTATAAGTGCTTTTCTGAAATAATATGAGGAAATAATAAAAGACTAAAGAGAGGAAGATGTATAATGGAAATAGTAAAAAAAAATAGTAATTAATGTTAAAAGTAAGTTTAGTGAATATTGACTCTTGTTTTAAATTAGGCGGAAAACAATCCATTACTATATTTTCGTTATCGTTCTCCTGACTAGAACTAGTTTTCGCGACGAAAATACAAAAGAGACGAAAAAATACCGCAGCACCTTAGTTTGTGTCACCGCTATAAAAAAAAATTGCGCTACGTGTATGTAAAAACTCTCGCAATTACGAACTCTGGACAGTAGACATGTCGCTTTAACATTTGTAATTTTTAAGACAGTGAGGTCTTGTGTTTATACGGGTCAAGCAATCCCCGTTCCCGCGGAGGCTTATGTAGTGCTTTTCTCAAACAATGTGAAGAAATAATAGAAGACTGAAAAGAAGAAGATGTATAATAAAAAAAAGTAAAAATAAATGTTAATTAAAACACATTTCACATAGTTTTTCCAGGCATATTTAATAGTAGTTTGCTGAATTGCCTCACTAGAACTTATTTTCGTGAGGAATGTAGAAAAAAGACCAAAGCTAAAATAGAAAAGAATACTTACCCATTTTAATTTATTTTACCACCTTTTTATTAAAAAAAGCGGTATAGGTACAAACACTTGACTGTTGACTGAATGAGTTTTTCATTAAAATTGGCAATATATAAATTATATTATTTTTTAATTGAAACAAGTATTAATTTCAAGGCTCTAAGACGCATGGATAAGTGCACAAAGACGTCGGTCTCCGAATATTGCATTTTAGAACTTATGTCAACTGGAATAACATAAAATATAGATTGATCCATTTAATGTCCTCTGCTTTTCCGTCCATCGGTTTGCGCTGGCTCTATGTATAAATATATTTACATAACTATAAGAGCCTGTGCACACGGCGTGTTTTATACGCGCGGCAGACGCGCTATCGCGAATTGATTCAAACGCGCGCAAACATCGCGTTGGAAGCAAGCGAGCAAGAAGCTCTTGTATTTATTAATTGTGTATACTCCACTGAAGTTTACACTTAGAATTTCATGTCTTCATTTCAAAAACTAACTGAAATTGACAAACAAAATAAAATTAGAACTATTTCTTATGAAAATACGCGATTACATACGCGCGACTACAGCGCCGCTGTGGCGCGTACACGCGCAGATGAAGCGCGTCGTCAGCATACGCCGTGCGTGTGCATAGGCTCTTAAGTGTACAAAAATGCGGTGTTTTTTTCCAGTCTGGCTGGTTATTTTACTTTTTTATTTTAGATCTAATTTGAAAATAAAAAATGAGTCCGCCACTATTTTTGTCATTCGTTTTAATTTCCTGCAAGTACGGGTTTTTCCAATCCTTTGAGGGTCATTTTGTGTTGTTATGAAGTCATAAACATTAACTTTAATAAAGATTTTTTATTGATTAAACTTTGAATTAATCCGTGTTAAACTGTTACAATTTTTAGCTAAAAACCCATTTCTGCTTTTTTTTATGAGACCATGTGACCGGACGAACAAGTAGTGCGCCTCACCAGGCGCATGCCTGTCCATCGACAGTTGCATTGCCATTCATACTGCGCCCCGTCACCCTAAGACATATGTTGAAAAATCCCATGTGCCTGTAATTTTACTACCACTCTTACCCTTCAAAACCGAAAGACAGTAATGCTCACAACACTTGAACATACATATTACCTATGTACTTCTAGAATGAATGAATTAAATATTGTTTATTGCACTTTATATATACAAAATATATACAAAAATAACGACCTCAACAGTTCGCGGAATTACATCTATTTGCCAAGTTTTATTGAAATCGGTTACCGCAAAGTGGACGTAACCGGATTCATCCCCTGGTTTGCCACCCTTGGAGGAGAAATATTTTCTTCAAATTTAAACGGGACCAAGACTGATCTTTTCAACAAAAAAAGAATCATAAAAATCGGTTCACAAATACGTAATTGCGTAACGCACACACAAAAAAAACACAGTCGAATTAAGAACCTCATCCTTTTTGATGTCGGCTAAAAAAGAAACAGAATTTAGAACACTTTTAATTACTTACAGTCCGTTAATTTTTTTCTAATATAAAATAACTGCGCATTTGAGTTCCATTCCTCCTGACGGAAAGTGACGATGATGCACGCAGACTTAAATAATGCCTATTCACTCTCACCTTGAAAAGGCCTAAGTTATAGCGTTCGGGGTCAAGTCTGCAGGCAGGGAATTCCACTCCATAGCCGTTCGCCGTATAAATGTGGAAGCGTAACGCTTCGTGCGATCCACCCCCATGATGTTGATATTCCAATATCTACATTATGGCGGTGGAACCCCAGCCCATGTCTAGTCCCCCGAAGATCGAAAAGCGGTAAAGTCTCCGTGTAATATTCTGTAGGGAATCAATAATGACGTAGTTAATAAACAACTTCGAAGTCCGGTTTTAATTGCGTATCGACTGCTACGACACTTAGGTCTCGAGATGGACTCGGATTCAGGGGCTGTTTATTATCTAATTGTTAAGAGTTTAATACTACCTCAAATGGTTTTGGTTAATTCTGCGTAACAATGAAAGCGTTGAATCAATTACTTTGAAAAAAATATACAGTAAAATTGAGGATGATGTGAAAACACAATTCCTAAAAATTTTCACGATACAAAAAAAAAAAACACAAACTTACTTCGAAATTTTACAAGAAAACCGCTATTATGGTAAAAAATCTGATTATTGAAGTTGATTATTATCTTGCTTTATATTCAACAGTTAAGGAGATATAATTCCAGAAAAGTTCCTACATTGGTCTTTATTTCCTGATCTCGAATATGTATGTAACTCAATTTTGATAAAAATATTATTTGTACCCGTTTTCGCTCCGAGGGCAGATTTATTTTCACAATCTTTCAAATTCAAACGATACCTATGTATCTTCATTTCTCTAGTAAACAAATTACACGTAATGTTGCCATCATGTTTTGCTAAAAAGGAGCATCACTCGGTTTTTATCGCTCCGAGACTAAAATAATAATTTTTGAGCATCTTCCAACGTGTTACTACTTAATACGTACTATAAAAGTCGAAGTACAATAGCCCACTCCTAAAATATTTTTCCAACCTTGAATTAGTAAATGCAGAACGGTAGGTACTACAGTTCCAACAATATTATGGTCACGTAGTGCAGCACATGGTGTTAGTAAATAGTTCTTCGCTGTGGTGGGGAGACGTCCAAGGGATGACGAAAATCGCCCGCGAATAAAACACATCGCGGCTTTCACCACAAACTGAATGAGTCGCGAACCTTCGCACCGCCGCGTGCGCTTTTTGCCTTAAGCCTCCTAACAGCGCGCGCGCACGATTCGGACCTTTTTAACTACACATTTCTAAAAATAATTCCTACAAATTTGGTAAATATATTTTGTAATAGTATTTAAACAAACTCTTCGAACCAATTTCACTATTTCAAACAAAGAAGTGTTTCCATTGTTAAGTGCGCCTGGATTAAAAGATTGATTACATTACAATTTAGAAAGTAAATTAGTAAAGAGGCAAAAGAATGGCTGCCTTTAAGATCCTATTGGTCCTGTCCCTCGCTGTAATCTACTCCAATGGCCAAGCTGCTGAAAAGGACAATCTACTCACTGCACGTAAGTATATAGAGCTTCATATTAACTTTTACACAAATTACAAAGAAAAAATATTAGATAATAACAAAAAAAAATTAGCAATCAATAGGTAAACAGAAATTGTTTGAAACCACTGGCTAGAAGTATAGAGCTTTAGATAAACTCTATATACATACGTAATATACGTAAAGATTAGAAATAAGAGAAAGCAGAAAAGATAATGTATATACATATATATATATATATATAATTTATAAGAAAGAATTATATATATATATACATATATATATATAATTCTTAAAGGTAAAGAAATTGAAAAAAATTCTAGGTTTCCTGATAAAAACAACAGCTTAAAATATTTAATATTAATTACTCTGTTTACGTTAAATATACATAAGACATATATTACATAGATATTTCCATTGTACTTTATTAGCCATTAAAATCTTACATTTTTAACTTAGCAGAAAAATATTATGAAAAATCTTATTTTTGCAAAAGTTATACAAGTTATAACTAAAGGGCACTCGTGCCCCTTTTGTGTTATTTATGAAGTAATTATTGTAGTTGAACTACATAAGGGCACAGTTCTGTACATTATAACTAAAATCCTTTGACGTTAGTGTTTTTAACTTAATAAATGTTCAATTTTTCCTTTATGGTAGACAATGTGATTATTGATGTCCGTTGTGTCTTTCGAGCTTATTGTAAAACCAACAATTATAGAGTTACACTAACTTTTGAATGTTTATCTATTGTTTTGTTTTGTTTTCATTATTTGTTTAATCACATTAGTTTTTGTGGTTTGTGTTTTTTATAATTTTTTTCTTTGTAACCACTTAATGTTGTTTGCTAAACTTGGAAATTCGTAAATGGCATTAGATCATTCATATTTAAGTATAACTGTAATTGTATAATTAGACCGTGAATTTTAAAAGTATAAAATAAAATACAAATAAATTTCTACAAAATATCAGAAGTACTTAACCCTTTTTTTGATACCGAATATACAGGTTTGTTTGTAAAGTGCTAACAATCATCCAGGAGTACCACGACTTTTAATAATTCATGAGATTTTACTTTTTTACAAAAATATTTAAATTATTGATAACTCTGTGCAGTAGCAAAGGACAGCACCCTTTACTAAAATTATTTTAATGAAAGGCAACACCCGGAAAGCGTTGTTAAAACAGATTTAAAAAGTGTCAGATAGTTCAACAAAGACTTAAAAGTTTATTTTTGGTAAATTTATACTATTTTGTGGGAGTCATGGAACAAAAGTTGTTTATGATGTTAGTAATATTGAACAGAATAGAATAGACATTTATTGCAACACCACAACACATAGATACAAAAAAAATATTTAAAACACTTAGACAAACAAAACAAAATAAAAAGATAATAAACAAAATAAAAAATTCAAAACATAATATAAGATAAAAAGACAAAAATAACTATATACTTAGTAGGTTGATAGTATTTTATAAATAACCCTGTATTTGTACTCAATTTTGACAAAAATGGTAGTTGTGCCTTTTTTCGTCTAGAGAGCAGTATTATTGATGTTATATATTTTGTGAATAATGTATTCGTAGACACTGAAACTGAAATAAATCTCACTATTTGATTTGATCTCGTCATAGAAAATAGAGTAATTTAAATTAGAAATCTTTTATTTATTTATACTGCACCCAATTCATACTTGAACAATGAAGATTTTCACAAAACTGTGAGTGTAAAGGTCTTTCTTCCGTTGGATGAGGTTACTAAACCAAGCCAAATAAAACTCCAAATTGTTGTTTGTTCAAGATGTTTTTATTTTCACCTTGTATGTCGCCAATACAATTTCACCCTATATGCGGAAGATCAGGGCAGTCGTTCCCAGAAGGGACTCGACTCCTGGAAACCATTCCGCGAGTAAGGTTTTTCACCCTATATGAGCATACGAAATGTCAGAATATCCGGGTAGCAGTTCCCAAGAAGGGACTAAACTCCTGGTTGCCTTACTTACTCTCTGTATTCTCAGATTTCTCTTCTCATTAACAAAATTGCGTTCGAGTAGTCACCATTCGAGGGAAAATCTTAATACCGTGATTCAGAAATAACGCCAAATGGGTCAATGCCATCTAGCGGATTCTTAGAGAACTAAAAGTGAACAACCTGGCTTAAGGCCGTCTATTACATAAAGTAGGTTTGTTACATGAGTACATTTTCGATGTTTTATAGGTAACTGATATGAGTACAATTGACAAGCAAGATGTGCAAAGTAAACTTGCACCACAACGTAAGATCTTTACATATGAAATTAGTAATACCTATTTACTTTAAACCAATAATCGACTTGCCTTTGCCAAATCGACAGTCCGTAAATGACATAACTTAGAAAACTTCAGGCATCATTCAATTATATAATATACATAGAATTAAGTCAAGAGCGTGTTCGATATGACCACACGTATTGTTACTAAATTGGTGCAAGGTAAAGCAGGGTACTCATTAACGACCTGTAACTGTAACATGACGGATATAGTAACGAGGTTCTAGCGTGTACGCGTAAAATATACTTCACCCGCTGGAATGAGTCTGCTCACAGTGAACCGTACGCGTTCCACACGGCAAGCTCGCGAACCATGTAAACTCTATGATTTTTGGTAAAATAACGTGAAACGGTCAGAGCGTTTGCGCACAACGTCCAATTCTTATCAGTTTTGGTAGCAGCAGAGCTCCTTGTGAAAGAGTTGTTCCAGGGAAGTACTGCGATCTTACCTATTTCTGCCGCCAAGCAGTAATGTGAGCATTACCCTGAGAGTTGAGCAGTTGGAGTCCTGGCACAGAGTGAACTTTAATTCATTTGTGGTGAGAGTACCAATTGAACATCTAGCGACCTGTCAAGGCTATCGGACACGCACGTTGCGCCACACGTGGCTGTCCAAACATATACATAAATAAATAGTTTTTATCATATTATCATGTATGCTAGTCTCTAAGGTATGTGTTTTATGGGTCTTTTGTAACTTGAAAATAAATAAATAAAATAAAATTGCTGCGTTCTGGCACATGGGACTTTTCAACTTATGTCTCATGGCGCAGAGGCAGTGCACCTCAGATCTTTGCGATTTAAAGCTTTGAGTGGCACTGCAACTTATGGACTGTCACAGGGATAATTTTATCTTTAGATGTATAAGTGATGTTCTTATTTTCTCGGATCCGAATCGGACTTGTAATGTCCGAGTTCTCTAGATTTGTATATTTTGTGTAGTCTCGGATTCCGAACGAATACGAATTGGATGCAGCGCATAAACGCGCTTACGGTTACAGTGTCCCTAATATGAGATTACAGTGACAGTTATCGCTAGCGATCGCGTAAAATGTTTATATACAAAATTTTGTTTATGTTGTGACCGCCAGAGGCGCTCTATAATTTGCCATTCAAAATTGTGAAGTAATTTACGTGATCGCTAGCGACAACTGTCACAGAATCAGAACAGAATCGTGGTAGAGGCACACTAGTGGGTACACGGCTTAAATGGGCTTCAATATTCAGATAGACATAAGAAAATTATAAAAGTTCCTAGATTAACTACGTAACCCTAGAAATTAGAAATTGTATTCACAATTTGAAAATCTCATTGGCCTGCTTTAGACATTAGACGAGAAGGTGCTAGGGCCTGAGAATTTAACTTTTCTCAATTAGTTCTGGTTTGAGTGCAGTATTCTAAGTAGTAGTCCAAAGTGAATTGCGTTGCGTACTCGTAGCACAGGTACTTCTCGAGTTTGGGACCAGCTAATTAAGGTGGTCATCTGGCATTTTATTATGATAATTTTTAACTTAAATTTCGACGTTCTGTACTTCACCAACATGTATAAATATTCTCTTTTTATAAATCTATCTTAGAACTAAAAATTATCTGTGAAAAACACAGAATGGCATACACAGAATTTAGCCACACCGACCGTGTCACTAGTAGCCACTGTAGTGAACTGTGCATGGGATATGTTTGCCATCGTGGATTTGCCAATCTGTAGTAGTAGACCTCCTCGTAAAAGAATTCGTCCAGGGAAGTACTGCCACCTTACCTATTTCTGGCGCCAAGCAGTAATGTCAGCATTATTGCGTTCCAGATTGAAAGGGTATGGGTGCTGGTGAAATTACAGGCACATGGGACTTGTCAACTTATATCTCAGGGTGTCGGGCGTCGTGCTTCTTCTTCTTATCGTATTGTAGTATTGATGGCATAGATTTGCAGTTCAGAACTATGGGACATGTTTGCCATCGCGGTGAAAGGAAGTCTCGGGAAGGCTCCTTTCGCGCACCCCAACGGCGTGTCATAATAGACTTTTCCAGCGTTTTCCAACCTGCTCGATTTACAGACCCTTCAAATATGAAGCATATTGTTATTTAAACAGTTGTAAAATTAATAAAACCGCAATCTAATTTATTCATTCTAATCATGCTAAAGTGAGTCGTAGTAGTCCCCCAGAAATAACCTCTGTGACCCCCCGGGATTCGCAGACATGAGGTTAGGAAACATTGCGCTAATGTACACATCTCTTTTAATACGACTCATGATGTATTTATTATATTCAAATAGCATGATGAAATTGCGAAGTGGTACAATTTAATATTAAGAATGGTTACAACATTAGTTAAGCAATGGATTTTAGACATTACGCCGAGATACGACTTATTGCGATGGTGTCAAAATTATGAACAAAGTTTATGTAATAGATTGTTTTCATTAATGTGCAAGCCGAGCAACGTTCTAGATCGTAGGTAAAATTGGCTTTATATGACTGGCTGCTGATGATAACGTTGCGCTGATACGAGAATAGTACATTATTGCAGAGGTCGGGAAGTAAGGAGATTGCTGAATAAGTGTGAGTTACAAGATTAGACCTTGTATCAATACGAGTCAAGAGATCCCATTTCCCGCCGAGCCTTATATAGTGCTTTTCTCGAACAATGTGACGAAATAATAAAAGACTAAAGAGAGAAAGATGTATAATAGAAAAAGTAATAA